GAAGAATAGAGGTATTTTGGATTAGACAGAAGGGAATAAAGGGAGAGAAGGGGGCATGGGGATGGGAAGGATAGTAGAATGAATCAGACATTATTACCCTATGTGCATATTTGATTATATGACCAGTGTGATTCTACATCATGTACAAATAGAATGAGAAGTTATACTCCATTTATGTATGATGTGTCAAAATACATTCTACTGTCATATATAACTAATTAGAACAATTTTTAAAATTTTTAAGAAAGAATTTCAGCATATGTCAGTAGTGGCACAGAAATTTATTTAGGAAAGCAATGAATACACATTCAAGAGAGAATGCAGGCCAAGAGCAATCCCTTGGTATAGAATGTTAATACTGATAGAGAAACAGTAACTAGGGGCTGGATTAGAGATGGAACCAGGGCAAAGTAATTCAATTTTACCCTAGTTTTTCTAGAGCTTACACATTGCTCTCATGTTACTTTTTGCAGGAAAGAGTGTCGGTTAAGGGAACCAGCCAATGGAGCAGGTTGGGTTGCTCAGGAGTTGCTTGTTTTGTATTCCAAAGGTTTATTTATGCATTCTGCATTTCAACAGTTAATGGGCACTTCTTTTTGAGACTCGGTATATCTTTCCTTTTCTGTATTCCCAAATTCTTATCTGTGTTCTAACATTTATAAGTAGTTGTTTAAAAACATACTTGCAAGGACTGGTGGCTTATGCCTGTCATTCCGACTACTCAGAAGGCTGAGGAAGGAGAATCACAAGTTTAAGGCTAGCCTGGGAAACCTAGCAAGATCCCCTCTCAAAATTAAATTAAAAAGGGCTGGACAGGGGATGGGGATTTAAGCTCAATTGGTAGAGTGCATGCCTCACATGCACAAAACCGTGGGTTCAATCCCCAACAACCCCACCCTCACACACACACACACACACACACACACACACTCTACTGTCATGTATATCTGAAAAGAACAAATTTAAAGGAAAAAAAGGTAGGGCTGGAGATAGGTAGTTCAGTTGTATAGCAATTGCCTACCAAAAGCAAAGCCCTGGATTTAATCCCAGTACTCTATGCCCTACCCTACCTCACCCCCCACCCCACCCCCTCAAAACAAACAAACAAAAAAACTCTATAAAGAATAAGACTGAGATATCTAACTGACAAAACCTAAAATTCCACCTGCCCCTTTACAGAAAAAGTCTGCCAACCCCAATTTTAGTATTTACTGAGTATCTGCCTTTTTTTTTTTTTTTGGTACCAGGGATTGAACTCAGGGCACTTGACCACTGAGCCACATCCCCAGCCCTATTTTATATTTTATTTAGAATCAGGGTCTCACTGAGTTGCTTAGCAGCCTCTCAGTTGCTGAGGCTGGCTTTGAACTCACAATCCTCGACTCAGCTTCCCAAGATGCTGGGATTACAGGCTTGAGCCACGATGCCCAGCTGGAGTATCTGTTTTCTAAACAGAAAATATTTTCTTTTATACTCTAAGAAAATAATTTGGGGGCCAAAGGTATGCTCAATGGTTGAATATGTGCATTATGTGTAAGAATCTGGGTTAAATCCCCAGCACCAAGAAAAAATCATCAACATCATCCAATCTGTAGAGCATCAAATTTCATATTCAACTGACTTTGTGTGCATGTGAGAAAGAGAGGGAAAGAGAGACAGGGGACTGAACCCAGAGGCAATCTACCATTTAACCATAACCTCAGTCCTTTTGTTAATTTTGGGAGAGGGTCTTGCTCAATTACCAAGGATGGCCTTAAGCTTATGATCATCCTGCTTCAGGCACTAGAGTCTCTGGAATTACAGGGCTGCACCACTGCATCTGACTCAAATGACTTTTTTTTTAAATATTTATTTTTTAGGTGTAGATGGACACAAGACAATGCCTTTTTTATTTTTATGTGGTGCTGAGGATCGAATCCGGGTCCCACCCATGCTAGGCGAGCGCTCTACCGCTGAGCCACAATCCCAGCCCTCAAATGACTTTTTAAGCAAAGAATTCTACCTGTGCATTGAACATAATTTTAAAAATTTCAATCCCTGGAGCAAATTATATATTTTTTAAGTTTTTATTCACTTTTTAGATATGTCCTCCATCAGCTCATTTCTCCTACTCAACCCCTCATCCAATATACTAAGATATTTGACAGCTGCAGCAGAGTTGCAGATCCTTCACTTCTCCAGGTATTGCCCTCTAGACACTAAATGCCAAATAAAAAAGGTTCAACATATTCTTGACAGCTCTATTTGGGGCCTCTATTATTTCTAACCTACTAATTTCTATCTATTCATCTCTCCTGCTTTTCATTTAATCCAATAGCTTAAAAAGATGGCATTAAGTAGATCATATTATTAAATGTCAATTTATATGACACACAAAAAGAAAATGCTCTAATTAACTGAATTAATACAAATACTTACAATCTTGGGTGGCCTTAATCACCTTCTTCCTTGAGCTTATTATAACCCTTTTTTACCTAAGTACTATAGCTTGTTGCCTCCCACTTTCCAACTATTAAAAAGTTGTCCTTACTATTTAGGAACTCTAACATATTAATTTCTTTTCCACATTTGCTCTTTTCTTACTTTCCCTTTCAGGTCCTTTGCTAAAACTTCAAACACACAAAAATGTTGAGCCTCTTAAGTATAGATCTTTAAATTGTATATCAAATTGGCAGACTGTCAACCTCTCTTCTAATTCATCTATTCCTTATTCATGCATCTATTTCATTATTTAAAATACCATTAATTAATTCCTTTAGGTCTTCCTAAAACAAATTTACCTCTTGCTCATTAAAATTCACCAATTCTATTTTTTTAAATTAAGAGACATGGCAATACAACAAACAAAATATACAATGTCTACAGATGTTTAAATGGGATGTGAAGAAACCATTATAAATGGCAAACTCAAATAAGATTAAACGTTAAGCCAGGCGTGGTGGTGCATGCCTATAATCCCAGAGTCTCAGGAGACTGAGGCAGGAGGATCGAAAGTTCAAAGCTAGCCTCAGCAAAAAGCAAGGTGCTAAAACTCAGTGAGACTCTGTCTCTAAATAAAATACAAAATAGGGCTGGGGATGTAACTCAGTGGTTGAGTGCCCCTGAGTTCAATCCCCAGTACTCCCTAAAAAAAAAAATTAGTTAATTTGATATTAAATAACAAAAAAAAAACCCTCTGAATCAGCCTGATGAATTTTAAAATAGTAAAAATAAACACCATATCTGATGTAATGATCTAAACTATATTTGATTTAATAACACAAATTGGATAAACTTTCAGACTCTCAGAAATAGTCAGATTGGGCCTAGGGATGTGGCTCAATGGTGGGATGTGTGCTTGGCATGCATGAGGCCCTGGGTTGAAGCCCCAGAACCGCAACTAAAAAAGCTGGATCAATCAATTTCAAAACACTCCTGAAGCCTCAAGTTATTTTTTAAAAATGCACATATAAAAAAAATTGATTCCAGAAGAGTCTAAAAAAGAGTGCTAAATACTGCTAAATTACTCAAAATCACAAGAGTGCTAAGATAGAAAACTTCAATGATCTCTTCAAAAAGAGGCAGAGCAGATCAAAACTTTTATCATTTTCATGTTTTTTAAAATTGCTTTTACAATTAAATTAGTTTTTCATTGCAAATGGTCCCCCCAAATAGAAATGATTATAGAAGCTATGACAAATACATGCCAACATTATAGTCATTCAGAATGCATACAAAGATCTAATATCATGAATAAATGCTTATTTTAATGCTAAAAGGGCAAAACCCAAAATTCTATATCTATTAGAATCACAGTTAAAATTAACTACAGGAAAATGTATTACAAGGAAGAATATAAAAAATTTTAATAGTGAAAAGCTCAGACAGTGGTGACAAGCTTAGGTGAAAAGGTTTGTTTTTCCATTTACTTCCTATATTTTCATAAGCATGATTTTTATAATGCAAAAAAAATAACATTTAAAGTTTAATGTAAGAAATTTTTATGCCGGGATCAGTGGTGCATGCCTGTAATCGTAGGATGCTGAGACAGGAGGATCTTGAGTTCAAAGCCAGCCTCAGCAATGGTGAAGCGCTACAAAACTCAGTGAGACCATGTCTCTAAATAGAATACAAAACAGGGTTGAAGATATGGCTCAGTGGTTGAATGCCCCTGAGTTCAATTCCCGGTGCCAAAAAAAAAAAGATATTTTTATAAGGTTTGTTAGTTTTTTACTCTTTCCATTATTTTAAGTATGTTTGATATCCCAGTAAACATAAATCCCACCAACATAAAAAAAATTTAAAAATGGGGCTGGGGATGTGGCTCAGGTGGTATTGTGCTTGCCTGGCATGCGCGCAGCGCTGGGTTCGATCCTCAGCACAATATACAAAAAAAAAAAAAAGAAAGAAAAAGGATGTTGTGTCCGCCAAAAAGTAAAAAAATAAATATAAAAAAAAAATTCTCTTGGGCTGGGGATGTGGCTCCGGCGGTGGCGCGCTCACCTGGCATGTGTGCGGCCCTGGTTCGATCCTCAGCACCACATACAAACGGAGATGTTGTGTCCACCGAAAACTAAAAAATTAAATATTAAAAAAAAATTCTCTCTCATTCTCTCTCTCTCTCTCTTTCTCTCTCTCTCCCCTATCTTTAAAAAAAATTTTCTCTCTATCTAAAAAAAAAAAATTAAATAAGCCATGGAGCTATCAAATTCTATTTTTAAAAAAACAAAGAAATGTGAAATATGGCAAAAAAAATGGAAGAAATAGGACAAATTTTCATTTCAGGGCTGATTATGTTACCAAGACAATGAGTTTTAATAGAATCCATTCAGATTTTCTTTCCTTTCAAAGAGAAGATAATGATACCATAAAAAGTCAGAATCAATGAACAGCCTCATATTGAGTTTGTATTTTCCAAATCATACATGCACATTAACTCACATAATAAAGGCTGCCAGCATTACAAGATGGGTTATGTTTAAAAGTTCTTTATAGGCAAATAGGAAAATAGCATTTCTCACTTGTGAAATATGATTGATTGAAGATTCCATTCTTCGTAACTGGGATGCCTGGATATCCAACATCTGCAGGACATTGTTGGCCAAGGTGTTTATCAGATAGGCAACACTCGCTAAGGATTGGGTGGTGTAGGCTTTGGTTTCTTCTAGGGCTCGCTGCTTGTCTGCTGACTAAGGAGAAAAACAAGATCATTACTTCAAAGATAACCCACTTCTAGCCAACTAACCTATAAAAGTACTCACCAAATTCATTCTGGATTGCTGAATCTACACCCGCCATTGATAATGTTCTGAAAACTATCAGTATCATGTAAACCCAAAACTAAACTATTGACAGAGTTCATTGATATTTTCAAATTCAATAGATATATTTTTATACAAAGACAAATAAAATTTTAAAGCTATTATTTTAAAAATGAGACCCAGTATACATTTTGCACAATACCAGCAAATATATACCTTCTCAAAAATCACTGGTTAGAAAGGTAGCATTGATTTGAATATATAAATTCTAGCATACTTTTTTCTACTTTCCTGAATTCCTCCTTTTCTTTCATTCTAACACATGAAGTGTGACTATAATGTGGTTATATGTCTATTAACATATTAAACAATTATAAAATAATGATAAAAATGGTAATGATGATAAACAATGAAAAATTAAAATTAAAATAATGAAAGTATATTAAGTGTGAGAACTCTATGTGACATAAACTGCTAAGAATCATAAACAGAGAATACACAGCAAAAAAATAACTTAATTTTGTCCAAGATTGCATAGCAAAGCATATTCTATGCTGCCAAGTGACAAACACTATCTTCTTGTCTTGGTTCTTCAGAGATTTGGTGGTTCAGTAGGAAGTACATTAAGTCTCTGAACAAGAAATATTTTATGTTAACATCAATACTAACACCTACAACAATATGTCAACTCAGAAAACAGTCATAGTTCCTCAATTTTCTTACAAGGCAAAGGAAAGAAAGCTGAAAAGTTGTGAACATCAAGATAATGAACATCTCTAAAATATAAACCATTAAATGTAACAACTGTTATTTCCTTGAGTGATTTAACTGTCAAAAGTCCACTATTGGAGCTGGGATTGTGGCTCAGTGGTATAGTGCCTGCCTGGCATGTGTGAGGCACTGGGTTTGATCATCAGCACCACATAAAAATAAAAGTATTGTGTCTACAAATGTACACTTAAAAAAAAGTCTACTACTGTCCCAATTCTGTCTCTCCTATACAGTCTAGAAGAGCCAATAAAACTAAATATAATTTTTTCCAAAGTTGGGGGGAAGGAAACAAGTCAAATTCTACTGAAGTAGTTAACAAAATAGTCAAATGCCATTTTACCTTAAAAAGAATTAAGAATTGTCATTTAGTTCTTTTTCTTTTCTAATCCTTAGTATTCTTTTTATCAAAGCCTGAATTAACAAGACAGATTAGTGCAATTTGGAAGAAGGGAACTAATAACCACATAGTATCTACTGTTCTTCCTCTGAGATCAACCCAGAACCAAAAGAGACTTTGCTCACCAAAGAAAGGCAACTAGCAGTTCCCCACTCACTTGCCGCTATTTGAGGCATTTATTTGCAGGCCCTGAGCCCAGTTTGGTGGGCAGCTGAATTACCACACCTAGGCCTGGAGAAAGAGTCCAATTCACTTTTAACCCTCCCCAACCCAGGCTCCTGAGCAGCAGGAAGCCATCTGATACCATATTCACCCAGGGTCCTGAAAACTATACAGGCCCTGCCCCAGGAATTCTTGGGACCCATCCAGGAACCCCTACTCACTCTCCCACAACCCTCCCCGCAAGCATCTGGGCTGCCTACCTTGAGCAGCTTGACCAACAGAGACAACACCCCCACACACAAAAAAATAGCTGTGCACCCTGGGTATCCTCCAGCTGCCCCAGAAGTAAAAATAGTCATGCCTACCCATTTTGTCCCCAGAAAGCAGCCAGCCAACCTCATCCACCCACCCTTGGCCAGGGGAGCAGCTAGGTAGAACTTCCTGAGCAGACTGGCTCAAGAGGCCCCAAGAATTCACCCAGCCCCAGGCATGCTGCACTATACCCAGTTGAGGCTACCTGAATGACCCAGCTCTCATACAAACCAAGGGGTGGTATGGATACAAAAACTCTCAACAAAATACTAGCAAATGAGGACTGGGGTTGTGGCTCAGTGGTAGAGCATTCACCTAGCATGCATGAGGCACTGGGTTCAATCCTTGGCACCACATAAAAAAATAAACGAAATAAAGGTATTGTGCCCATTTAAAAAAAAATTAGCAAATAGAATCCAAGAGCTATCAAAAAGAGTATACAACATGATCAAGTGGAACTTTTCTTAGGGATAGAATTTTTATTTTTTTTTTTAATTCTAGGATTCCACAGCACACCTGTTCATATCTGTTCTAAATTTCATAACTGTTGATACAAAGATGTTAAAAATTATATTATTAAAATCACATATTTACATAAAATTTAGATTGTCCTTATAAATTATAAAACTTAAATTACTTTAAGAAATTTAGTATGATATCCTATGGTTGAAAGTAACAAAATCTCAAATTTTTCATTTTTAGCTAATATTTGCCAAAATTTTTCACAGTAAGATAGTTTAAACAGATTATTTTAATTGAGTGCCATTGATTTTAGGACTTTTTAATGTATCAGATAGGGACATCAGTTTAAAAATAACTATAAATGATGTTAAAAGGAACTTGCAGATAGCTTCTAAAACAAAACAATTTATTTTTACATTTTTTATTTCAACAATTATTTACAAAATTAGCAAAGTCGCAAAACTAACAAATATCACATAACCTGAATAATTTTGAAGTGACTAACTAAGAAAACAAATCTAGCACTGTTTAGGGGTTGGTAGCTCAAGTCATGCTCCTTTTAATTACAGAGCATTTTTAATTACAATGAGGTAACATAGGCAAACAATAAATAATACATTTACACCAAATGAGAGATAAATATACATTGCATTGTACTGTATAAACAACAGTTTTAAAATAGGAAATGCAATTGTTGGCACCTACATCATTTAAGTCCACAGTACTCTTCATAATATCACACAAAGCAATTTGTAAATCCACCACCATATGTAAATTTCATGGAACACTGAGTTTTGGAAAAAATTAAATTTTATTTGTATTATAGCTTTATTCACAAATTTATTTTGAACTTATAGTTATTCCTGAGCTTTAACTAAAAGTGGTTTATATCTAATTTTGTTTAAGAATTAAATAACATTTTTTAAAATAAATTAAATCAACACTGTGGGTCATATTTCTTTCTTTTCATTTAAAATTAAGGCTTCTAGAGCTGAGAAGTGTAGCTCAGAGGTAGACTACTTACCTGCCATTCAAGAGGTCCTGGGTTTAAAGCCCACCACCAAAAAAAAAAAAAAAAAAAAAAAAAAACGGATAAAATTAAGGATTCTGATCATTTATCAAGAAATACTAGGGGATGGGGTTGTGGCTCAGCGGTAGAGTACTCGCCTAGCACATGAGAGGCCCTGGTTCAATCCTCAGCACC